AGTATCCTTTCTTTTTGGAGGATTTTAAAACATTTAGCCAAAATCCTAGTTTTGGTGACTTGGAAAATAACAAGTTCAAAGGGGCATGCATCTAGACCATTCAATGCACCCATTTCTAACCGTGATTGAAAGCTTTCGTATGCAAAACGATGGTGACTCCTCATGACAGCACAAACGATTCAAAAAGAAAACTCATTCATGAGTTGGAGAATAAGATAAGAGGTCATTTTCATTTTGGTATTCACTGAGGAAGTTCACCTTCATTTGCAGCAATATACGATTTTTACTTAAACCTTTCACATGAACCTCTTGCGATCCAAATATAACATTATTTTGCATCCACACAATTGGAGATAAAATTAAGCAACAAAGCCATAATTAACGGATTCTCCTCAATCGATGAACAAGTGCATTTTGCTACTCATGGATTGAATTAAGCATAAGCGTTAGACTAATATATATAATCAAATATATATAATATATATTTGATAAATTAAATATATCAGACAAATATATATAATCAAATTAAATAAATGGAACTCATTCAAATTTATGTATTTGTAGATAAATATTATTCCATTCAGCTTGGAAAAGTCAACCAATTTGTCATCAAGTTCCGGAGCGGCTGACAAATTCTACAAAGGTGTATACATTAATTATACTGATTATAAAGGAGACAGGGGAAAACATCGTACGTGGTTCGTTTTCCAACTTCTGTTTCAAGCTCAAATATATTTTTGATTCTTCCGAATTTGATTTTCATCATCCATTTTCTTTTAATCAATTCGAACTTTTATAAATTTATTTTAATGGTAGAAAATTAATTTAATTCTTGTTATTATCATCCGCACACATTTTTTTTTAAATTGATCATCATATCTTTTATTAATGATTATTTTAAGGTAGCATAATTTTTTAATCATGATATAAATACACAAAAAAATAACAACTCTATTAAGAAAGTATGTATATATTAGGTTATTATTTATTTCTCAACATAGTTTATATACACTTAGGATAAGATTCAACTGGATCTTTTGTTATTAGTACACTATTCTCAAAATTTATAAAAAAAAAAAAAAAAAAAGAGAGAAGAAACTGATAAAAAAAATTGGAGGGTTAGAACTAAATTTAATAATAGAAGCAGGAATTAAAATCAAATTTTGCTCTTTCTTTTCAATATGTTTACATTTGGAAGACTGACACTGGGAAAGAAGTTGCATCGATTACATATAGAATAATTAGGTTTGAAAAGTTGCCATATGAATATGAGTAATTGTCTTCTTTCTTCACAAGTTTTCAAGATGGTGAAGTAAACTAATTTCAAAGCGGCAAATATAGGATCATATATATCAGTGAACACGACATGCTTAAAAAAATAAACAGTAATAATTATATATATATATATATAAAATTCTATTATATTTTAAATAATAAATTATATACCTTATAATTTTTTTATAATGTTTTAAAACACAGAAAGAATCAGATTCAATTTCAAATCTTAATTAATAGAAATTAAAAGACTTAATTAATAATAACACTTATGTGAAGCATATACCTTTATAATTGAAAATACAAAAACTGAAAATTAGTATAAACTTAAATATATAAAAATAGAGAAATCAAAATATAAAATTTAATATATCTACTAATAACATTAATATCGGACTCAAGGAGTATATATATATACTAGAAAATTAACATGTAGTGATAGATAAAAAATTATTACTAATAGATAAGAATTTATAGGTATAACTCAATTATATATTGATTCACAAATATTTTATCTATCGAGTCCTAAAATAATTATATATTGTCATTATAGGATTATTTAGCTAGGGGTATAACTTTAGTTTTGATTTGGTGCACGCATTTGGTTCATTGCCCATAGGAGATATGAGAGCAAGATAAAAATAGGTTGAAGGAGTATTTTTGAGACCACATTGAAAGATGATAGTGTTGATATTCCTTTTAACTACTCTTATGTAGCTATTTTGTAGTCATTACTTAACTAATGACCTTACTTTATATTTTCAATATTGAATTTATTGTGCCTCTATATGTGTATATATACACAAACATACATAAAATTGTATAGTTAGTGTTCTAGTTCCATAATTAGACGTTTGTTTTCATTGTAATTAGATGTTGAGCTTTAAAGTATAAGACTCAAACGATCATTATATATACCAATAAAATAAATACATCTTAATTAAGGATGTAGATAAGCTTTCCAAATGATTTTTTTTTTTATTTCATTTAAGTTTTGACATTATTTATCATTAATTCCTTATCAATTTTTTTAAAAAAATAATTAGTAGTTACTATAATCTTAAAACCCCTAGATTTGTTGGGAGGGTGTAGTATTTTAAGATGGGAGAGTACAATATTTTAAATCCTAGACTTGTTCACAAAAAATAAAAATAAAAATCGGAGAGTGTAACTTGTGTATTCATTTAGAGAAGTAGAATTCATCATGTAAAAATCTCAAAGCATATGCAACGAAGGAGCAACAAAATCCAATTAAACCACGCAACACGTCACCTTACCAACACTCACATTGTTAATACATTATCATCCAAGTTATGAAGGCATGTAATGTAATATCATATTCAAGAGTGCTTTGGTTTATATATAGGAGTATAATTACACAAAATCAAAATGGAAAATGTGCATTAATCATTCTGTGATCAGATCCAAATAATAAAGTTATTGTCTATGTCATCTACCTAGTTAATATACAAAATTCCAACCATGTCTTGGGATGCATGACAACGTTCATAGCAAAAGCCAACACCTCTTCAACAATTTCAACTACGCATAGTTTGAAATCACAATTCCCTTCCAAATCGGATTCAAACGAAATTGAATTCGATTTAGGATCGTTCCCTTGTTCCAAATACGAAGAGTGATCGAAAATGCATGTGCAGTGTCCACACCTTCTAAACTCATCTTGCTCAAAAAATCTCGAACTGTGACTGTGCCTTCGTAGTTACCATGATGGAAAAGTCATTCTCTTGCTTTAATTAATATCTATTTCTTCATACACACCATTCCTTACTCAAACTATTTTCATTCTTTCTAAAGTTAAAAGTAAAAATTAATTTAATTAATTATGCATTGAATTGGAAATACAATAGTTTTAGTATTAAAATGCAAAATGATGACATAATTCAAACTTAATAACATGACATAAATTTAACTACCAGTTGGATCAAAATCATCCAAATATGATCAGGTACAGTAAAAATTCTATTATTTTTATCCAAACATTACATCATCATCATAATAATAATAATAATATTATATATATATATATATATATATTATAATAACAAATAATATTGTAATATTTATTTCTATGAAATATAAATATTTAAAATTAATGAGAAAAATACTTATCATGAATTATACATATTACAATTAAGGTATTTTTTAAGAGAAAAATATTTTATTGACTTTATAATAATTATCTTAAAAATCGTATTAATAATTTTTTTTATATTCACATTGGATGACCATTAAACCTAAATTTTAACATTTGACCATTATTTTCTTAGTATATATATATATATATATATTTATTTTCATATAAAATAATATTTTTTATGCCTAGCTATTTGCATATTTTTCACTAATCTATTTTTTAATCAGCCTTTTCATCTATTTATATTATTATTTATACGTGTTTTCCACTCTCGTAATTTTCGTGGGATCATGGAAATGATATTTATATTCTATTTTTTTCCCGGTTATGTACATCAATTTCTACCACTCATTTCAGTTTATTATTATTATTTATTTATATTTAAATCATCATGTTCTAAATAAATGTGTATTTAATTATTTATAATTTTTTTAATATGACCTAAATTCAACATTAAAATTATTTCTACCGTAAAATTGTTAAATTATGAATAATAAGTAAAATTAAATAAACAACAGGGTGTAATTATTATATATTACGTATTACTTATTAGTGTATAAATTTATCGGTGAATCCGATATTATTTTAAAATTTATTATAATATGATTATTGTAAAAATTAAGAATTTTGTATATTTTTTGTGTAAAGAAATTTTGTATGATGTGATGAGATGCGGGTTAAAATCTTAATAATAATAATAATAATAATAATAATAATAATAAGAATAATAATAATTATTATTATTATAATTTATTCCTATTATAAATCCTATTTTCGTATATACAAATTTTAGACTATTTTTGCATTTAGATTTTTAAATAATTAAAATAACATTAAAAATTAATTAAACTCAAAATCTTGAAATTCAAAAATTATATATAATATTAGTTGTCTAAATAAGTATTAATAATCTTTAAATATTTTTAAATAAATATAGATATCTAATAATAATAATAATATTAATATATTTAAAAATTTGATTAATTTTTATATCAAAATTGTCGTCATAATATGAGGTCAGCCGCGACCCCAGAAAATGAATCTGACCTGGCCGCCATCCACATCCACTTAATTGACCCACGTGTGCTTATCAATCCCCTTCTGCGGGCCCTACTTTTCACACTATACTATACTTTACTAGTTTTTTATTCATACACTATACTGTACTATAGTATAATCCCACTGCGTCATTTATTGGTTTTTTTTTATTATTATTTTTATAATATTTCAAGTTCATAAAATACAAAGATAAAAAACTATTACGGAGATGTTGTTGTCCTGCCAATAAATATTAATAATATAATTTAAAGCTTAATATTTAAATGATTTTAATTATCAAATAAAATTCTAAAAAGGTTATTAAATTGTGTGAGTTTTAATTTTATGTAACAAAATGTATGCATGATATGGTGTTGAGAAAGAAATTAGTGGTATTGAATGGAGTGTTGTGGTAGGGGTTTCAGTTTCACCTAACGTTTGATGGAGTTAGCTTTAGCGGCGTCTTTTACCATTTACTCGTACGAATTACCCGTAGGCAAAAAGCGGGTATAAAAGGAGGAGTTGGGAGCAGAAGTGGCGAGAAAAACAGAGCAATTAGGAATTACTCAAGACATGGATTCCTCTTCCCTCTTCAACTCCCCCACTTCCTCTGACTCCTCCTGGGGCTGGGACGGCTACCTCCCCTTCAACGAGAACGACCCGGAGGAGATGCTCCTCTACGGCATGATCGCCACCGCCACCGCCCCCGCCCCCGAGGCCACCAAGGAGAAGTACCGTGGTGTGCGCCGCCGCCCCTGGGGGAAGTTCGCCGCCGAGATAAGGGACTCGACGCGGCACGGCACCAGGGTGTGGCTGGGGACATTCGACAGCGCAGAGGCGGCGGCCCTGGCTTACGACCAAGCGGCCTTTTCCATGAGAGGGTCGGCGGCCATACTGAACTTCCCCGTTGACAGGGTGAGAGAGTCCCTGAAAGAGATGAACTACGCAAACGCCGAGGAGGATGGCTGCTCCCCTGTCGTGGCTCTCAAGAGGAAGCACTCCCTCCGAAGGAAGATTGGTGTTAAGAAGACCAAACAGACTACCCTTCCCAATGCCATCGTCTTCCAAGACCTCGGCGCTGATTACTTGGAACACTTGTTGATGTCCTCTTCCTCTTCCTCCTCCTCCTCCTCCTCCTCCTCCTCTCCTTCTCATTGATTCCTTCATTCAAACACATACCTCTTTATGTCACACTTCATTTCTTTCTTTTTTCTATGCTTATTATATGTCTCATGTTTCCATCACAGATTTTACTATCACCTTTTGATCACTCTGTATTTTTTTTTTTGGGGAGATTTTTCCTCTCTTTTTTTGTAAAGTTTAGAGATAAGGAATGCAGTAATCTTTGTGGGACTCAATTTATGTCAAATTCTCTCGATATTAATTGAGGTGACTGAGACTCTTGTTTTTACCTTTATCGGACTAAAAGTCAACATGCATGGTCGAGTTTTGCGCTGTAAGGGCGGCACGTGTGGCCGCACACTGACAAATAACAAACGCTTTCTTAACCATTATGCCAACCTCTTTAGTCTTTTTTTTGTCTTCCAGTGTCTGTCCAAATTTTCAAATTTCAGAGTTTTGGCAAACAGATTGTCCCATTACGGCATGCTCACAACCATTTTATGGCAGACTGAGAAAGAAAGAAAGAAAAAAAAAAAAAAAAGTGGTTTATTTCGGTGAAAGTATAATCTTGTGAAGATGGTAATAAGTTAAGTTATGACTGAACAAAATGTTGTAAAAATTCGTTTTATTGTGGGTGAGAAACTCTCCAGGGGAGGGGCCCCTTTAATGTTTGATGGATGAGGCGAGATCTGGTCCCATTAAGGTGACGTTATTTCAGATTATTAACGTGGTGCATGTCATGGGACATGGTCCTTTTTTGTAGATGAGATTCGTTTTCCAACTTTTCTATCTGATTGGGTTCAAAACAAGTGGCAGGGCTAGTCTGACACCAGGTTAGGCTAATTTTGTCGTGTGACCACAACCATAGACTTCAACTGTACGTTCTTATGCTGAAGATGAAATACCAACTAAATTTTACTTGTTCCATAGGGAATTAAAAATAACAAGATAAAAAGATTAGCACTTAGCAGCAGCAATATTTTATGGAGAAAATATGATAAAGGAAAGTGCAACGAAGTGGCCTGTGTGAGTTGGTGTGTGAGTTGGTGGGATTTCTAGAATTTTCTCAAATCAGTTTGGAGTAGAGAACCGCAAAACTGTTTTCTCTGCAACTGTTTATTTAATTGAGTCCAACTTTGAACCAAAAAGAAGCTTCTTCCAATTGTGGTCTACCAGAACTGGTTGGACACTTAGACCAACATCTGCAATCTTATGACTTATCTCAATTATTATAAACACGTGGGGATTTTTTCCATTTATTTATTCATTTTCCTCATTCTTCTAATAAGTTTTCCATATATTAACTACTATTTTACATGCTAAAAAAATCTTCCTTATTTGTCAACATTCAGAGGAATATTGTCAAATAAGCTAGCTGAAATATTGAAGCGAGAAAATATTTTATATTTAAAATTAAAAAGTCACTCTTATTTCCCATATTCAAAGGAAAATTTTTAGTAAACATCAAAGTTCAACAAAAATAAAATAAAATAAAATAATTTCCTACCTATGATTAGTAAGAGTATTTTTGAGTAGGTATATATATAAAATAAAATGTTTGAATATGTTTCTATTACATAGCAGATTTTATTTCAGTCTTTATATTTTTTTTTGTCAATTATTTTTTAAATTTGTAAACATTATTTTTTTTAAACAAGCAAGTTTTAGAATTGTTCTTTGTAAATATTTTTTTTATCCTCTAAATATTAAAGTCACCATTTTGTGTCACTTAGTAGGAATATTTTAAGAGAAACAAATAAATTTATGAAAATAAAATAAAATAAATATCTTACTCATTAATATATTATTACTAATAGTTATATGATTCGTGAATTGATAGGACTCATTGGTGATCTACAGTCGCGATTATATATGACAGATATGTTAGTGTGGAACTGTGATACATCAAGGGCATATACGGTGAAATCTGCATATGGTTTTTTGTATGATTATTTTTCTGCAGGCTCTGCTATATATTGATAATGGTGTGGTGTTGGCATTGCGTCGTATGTGAAAGGCACTGGTTCTCAAAAGGGTCAGTGTGTTCTCTTGGAAATTGTTATTACAAGCTTTGCCGGTACGTAAGGGACTTGTGAAGCGTGGTATGTTGTTCTTAAATGAATCTTGTGCCCTAAGTAATTATGAAGACGAAGAGGTGAAACACTTATTCTTGCATTGTTCTATTTCTAGCAGTATATGATATTCGATTTGGTATTGGTTGGGTTTCTCTTCATGTATGCCAAAGTGTTTAGAGGATCTTTTATTGGATATGTGTGATTTTGTGGGTGGGAAAAAGAAGTGGAGGTATGTAGTAACTATTTGGGTAGCTATGGTATATGAAGTATTTGGTTACATAAAAATAACATTGTCTTTAACAATGATTTATTAAATATTGGGGAGATTATAGATGCTAACAAATATAGGTCATAGAAATGGTTAACAGTGGGTTTAAACGAGGGATAATTAGTATACATAAATTGGTTAAATGAGTCATTGATATGTATTCAACAGTTGCCTTAACTTTGTATATAGGTTGAAGTACCCTTTGTACTCATTTTTCTTAATATTATGTTTTTTTGCTTATAAATAAAAAAAGTTATATGATCACTTAATCTTTTAATAAATATGAGTAATTAAAAATTCATATAATAATAAGGATTAAAAATATTAATTTTAAATTTTAGAAAAATAAAAAATTATTACATTGATTCCTATATATAACACCCAAATATATAATTCACTAAGATTAAGAAAAGTAATTAATAAGTTTATAACAATAAATTTCTTTTTTTATTATTTTTTTAAAACTATTCTTATACTAAACTTTTTTAATTAATATTCGCATATCTCTCAAGTCTTAATTAAGAGCGTATGTCATAATTATTTCTCTTTCATAATTAATATTACTTACTTTGTTAATAAATTAGAATACATATATTTTAAAGAGTTTATAATTAATATATTCTATTAAATTAAGAGAACACATTTTAATCAGGGACATTTTAGTCTAAAAATAACTGATACATCAAATATTATGAATTAGATTTTATATAGAAGAAAAATCAATCGTCTTAAGTTGAATGAAGGTAATAATTTTTTTAAAGACTAAAACTAAAATTTCTTATTTTACATGTAGTAAAAAAACTTATTAGTTATTATTAATTAAATCATTAAAATTTTATTTATCTGATCTCAATTTATATCAGGGATTGTGTTTTTAATTGGAGAAAGCCAATCCATGAAACTCATTTTCCCTTTTTATATGTAGTAAGCCAAACACAGTGAGACACATTAATTATTTAATTAACCACTTTCACAGCTGATATAATATTTGTCTCTTTAATTCACTTTTGTTTTTAGTAGCTGTGATTTGAGATAGAAATTTTCATTTCGCTGAGGGGAAACTTCCGTGATTTTGATTAATCTAAAACAGTAAAAAATCTGCATTTTGCTATTTTCAAAGTGCCACTGTATTTGTCGTTCCATCCCATGGTAATGAGAACACAATGTGAATGTAAATGCATAAACATGAAAGAACACTGAAAGACTCGGCGGTCCCATCATCAGATTTCTTAACTGTTAACTATATTTGGATTATTTATCAAAAGTACGACCTAAAGCAATTCACATCTCTTTAAAGATTTGCAAGTAATCAAAAATTAATTAAGCACCCTGTATGTCATCATGTGCCATAAATAAATGACTTAATTTCGCATAGTATCCAACGACTGATTTCTATATATCTAAATCTAATAAATGAGACCAGCTTTACAAAGAGTTATTTGTTTTCCGCTTCTTTTGCTACCTTCAACTTTTATTTTTTTTGGGTAAATAACCTTACAAATATTTTTTACCATTGTTATACGATAAAGGTGACAAAATAGGTTACATATACGTTGCATTAATCCGTTTAACATGTTCCATATTAACTCGTCAAGAAAAAAACCAGATGGGAACAAGTTATTCCGTTAAATTGACTTACCTTTATGCAAAATACCACGAAAAACTTAGGGCTTCAATTAAAAAACTTGTATGCCTCTCATTGGAACATAGCATTATGTTGCATTGTAATCATTGAATATACCCCAAACGTCAAAAATAACGGCTTACAAAGTTACAAATTACAATTGCTATTTTAATTTCCAAATCCTACAAAAACATGTGTGAAGCTGAGGGAGCTACATAATTCATAAAGTTATATGTGATTGATATAATTTTAAGACTGGAAACAGTAATCAAATCTTTAAATATTTCGTTTAACACCTAGCTAGTGAGATTTCTATTTTATTAATAAAATATATTTAAATATGAAATAAACCTATTAAATAAGAACCAAATTAATATTGTATCTACATCCACCATGTAAATATTGTATATAAATATTTTGCACTAATATGAGATGCTCATTATTATCTTCCTACTATTAAAATGAGTATCGTATATATTTACTGCATTAATAACATTAATTAAATACTATTTTAATACAACTTTAAATAATAAATAAAGGTATAAATTATTAGAGCTGATTTATATATATATATATATATATTGTGATATACATTTTAATGTATAAACATATATTTATTTTTTTTAATCAATTTATTTAAAATATATACAATTGAATAATTATTTTATATTTGTTTTAAAATAAATTTTATGAACCAATTTTTTTTAAGAATAATATATAAAAATAAAATTTTTAAATGTGTGTGTATCTATCTATTCTCACACACACACATATATATATATAGAGAGATAAATGTGTAATTTATTTGATAATTTTGAGATAAAAAAAATATATATTTTTTAACATAAGAATGGATAACTACGTAATATCTCTTGGGAGATAACAAAAGATAATGTTCTGATATTTTAAAAAAAATGAAAACATACTAATAAAATTTTATGGGAAAAATAACAAATAGAATAAAATGTGTTATATTCTAGAATTTAAGAGGAAGAAAGTGTAAATTTGAACATAAACCAACAAAATTTAAGTACATATAGTATTTATCTTTTCTTTTTAAAAAAAAAAAATTATATTTATATAAAAGTGGACACAAGGTGTGTCACTACAAGATGCAAATAAAATATCAAGATCGAAAATACAAGTTAACAAATCTCCTTTCATATGTATGATAATAATCATAAATTATCTAAATAATATATTTTCTTTTACACATATACTTCATTAGAGATAACATCTTTTTATAAACATGATCCATTATTGTATAGTATAATAAATATTACAATACAGTGATATATAAAAATATTACTATAAATATAATA